CCCCCCCCCCCCCACCGCCCCTGGCAACCGCCGATCTGTTCTGCGTTTCTGCAGTTGTCATTTCAAGCAGGTTACAAACACGTTTGAGTCCATGGTCCGTTTTGAGCTAATTTGTACATACGGTGTGGGGTTCAGGTTGAGGTCCTTTTTTTTAGTTCTTTCCTGTTGGTGTGCAAGGCCTCCAGTCAGATTTGTTGGACAGAAAGGCCGTCCTTCTTCCGTTGAATTGCTCCTGCCCCTCTGTCGAAAATCACTTGGGCGTATTTGTGTGGGTCGATGTACGGCTGTCTGCCCTGTGACTTCTGTGTCCCTTCCACCTCCAGCCGCGCAGGCCTGGGTCACCGTGGCTGCGCAGTAGGCACCGATCCCACACCACTTGGAGTGATTCCTCCCAGTTTAGTCTTTTTTTTGTTGAGAATTGTTTTAGCCGGTTTAGTTCTCCTGCCTTTCCGTATAAACTTTATTTTTTTTTTAAGTTTATTCATTTTGAGAGTGCAAGCTGGGGAGGGGCAGGGTGAGAGGGAGAGAGAGACTCTCGAGCAGGGTCCGCACTGTCAGCAGAGAGCCGGACGCAGGGCTCTAACTCATGAACCGTGAGATTGTGACCTGAGCCGTGATCGAGTTGGATGTTCGACCGACTGAGCCGCCCAGGCGCCCCTCCATATAAATTTTAAAATAATCTTGTCTGTAGCTTAGACAAAGACGAGCCCTGCCGGGATTTCGATAGGAGTTGTGTTAAACCTCTGTAGCCACGTGGGAAGGATTGACGTCTTTACTGCCCTGAGTCTCCCAGTCCATGAACACAGAATGTCTTTTTCTTTTTTAACGAAAGCTTATGATGTAAAGACAAAGGCAGCTCTGTGGTGACGCATGGACGTGTATCAGGAGATGCCGTGTTTGTTTTTTTTTTGAAGTAAGCTTCGCGCCCAGAGTGGAGCCCGATGCGGGGCTTGAACTCCCTACCCTGTGATCGAGACCTGAGCTGAGATCAAGAGTCGGCCGCTTCACTGACCGAGCCACCCAGGCGCCCCGGGAGATGCTTTTATTCCTGGGAGAATCTCAGTGATGGGCTGTCGGGTCGCATCTCTGTTCAATTCCTTTTTTTAAAACAATTTATCCCCAGGCCTACGAAAGGAGGTTCCCTACGTGTCCTTTGATCCCGATGTTTGTGGACAGTGACACCGTGAACGAGTTCAAGAGCGAAGACGGGGCCGTTCACATTATAGAACGGCGCTGCAAGCTGGACATAGACGCACCAAGGCTGCTGAAAAAGGTACCCACGGGGACATTTGGGCCGTCCCCCTGCCAGACGAACTTAACGCTCGCGGCTTCTGTTGCACTTGGTGTCAGTAATAAGTCCGTTTTCTCCTTTTTTTTTTTTTAAAGATTGCAGGAGTCGATTATGTTTATTTTGTCCAAAAAAACTCACTGAATTCTCGGGAACGTACTTTGCACATCGAGGCCCATAACGAAACGTTCTCCAACCGGGTCATCATCCACGAACATTGCTGCTACACTGTGAGTAACCGCGCTCGCGGGGGTGGGGCGGGGAGGGCAGGGGACGCAGGCTGGGGCCGGCCTGTGCTTCTGGGACCCGCGTGGCCATCGCGCTAAACGGCACACCGCCTTGTGTTCTTCAGATACCGTCCCTCGCTTCTGACGCGTGGGGTCAGCGGGTGGCAGCTGCGGTTTACTGCAGAATGGGTCACGTGGTTGTAGCAGTCAGGGTCGCCTTGTGACCTTCCCATGTCCCTTCCTTTCCGGCGCCACTCTAACACTTCAGAACTACACGGGAAGGTCCCAAGAGAACAGTTTTCCTCCGCTCTCTCAAAGTAGAGTATTCCCGTGAAGCCTTTCGTACGCTGAACACGGGCAAAGCAAAGCAGCAGTTATGAGTGTATATGGGAAGATTTTTTAGCATTCCCGTATGCAAAGCAAAACATAGCTTGTTTAGGGGCTTCTGGTGCCCCAGGACCCGTCTTGCTAACAGGCGCACAGAATAAATGGAGATAAAGCCCAGGGGCCCACAGACGCTGTTCTAAGCTCTGGAGTCTCGAGGCTTCCGGAGGCGGGGCGGGGGGCGTGGTGCCATCCTTGACGCTTGGGGTACGAGCTGCCTCCGCAATGGCTTTTGCAAAACAAACGGTGAATGCTGTTTTCACGTTCAGCCATTTTCCTAAACGAGGAAATCCTCTTTAGATTTCTTTTGGTTAGCCAAAACAGGCACGAATGTCAGTCTTTGGTAGAAGCGATGGGGCGGAATGCAGACTTCGGGAAAGCGGGGCTTGCCTGTGATGGGTACCTCTGTATCAGGCTGATCTGCTGTTCTTCATCACTAACTTGCCACCAGATTATCAGAATAATCTAATAGGGTCTCTCTGCTTCTTCCTCACCCTTCTACAACGTATCCTTAGCGCTGAATCCCAAGTGATCCATTTAAAGTATGTCAGATCAGGGGCGCCTGGGTGGCTCCGTCCGTGAAGCATCCAACTTCGGTTCAGGTCACGGATCTCACGGCCCGTGGGTTTGAGCCCGCATTGGGCTCTGTGCTGACAGCTCAGAGCCTGGAGCCTGCTTCGGATTCTGTGTCTCCTTCTCTCTCTGCCCCTCCCCTGCTCTTTCTCTCTCTCAAAAATAAATAAACATTAAAAACTTTAAATAAATAAATAAAGTATGTCAGATCGTATCATACTTTCTGCAGCCTTCCTGCATTTCACACAGAAAAGCCCAGAGGCCTCCCAGTGGCTTACAGGGCCCCTCATTTTCTCGTCCTCACACATCTGCTGTCCTGCTGTCTTTGTGCACAAGCCTACGCCCCTGCTGTTCCCGGATGGCGAAGGCTGCTTCCCCTAAGGACCTCTGCTCCAAGTGCGCCCTCTGCCGGGGGCGCTGTGCCCCCGGATCTCTGCTGGACTCCCGCCCTCACCTTCCGTCTGTGCTCACATCTGCCCTTCTGGATGAAGCCAGCCTGAGCACCCTGTTCAATTCTGCTGCCCGCCCCCCAGTTCATTCACCTGCTCCAGCTTTTCCTTTTTCCCTTAGCGCTTGTCTTCAGTTTCTTACCTCTTTATGTTCATGGCTAATTGGCTGTCTCCCCCTCCAGACCATAAGCTGCATCAGGCAGAGACCGTCGTTTTGTCTACGATGGAGAACCCTGCTCAGGAAATACGGTGAATGAATGAACCACCAATGAAAGCGGAGCTCTCCTTTTAACAGGCGTTTTTCGATTTTTTTTTTTCTAGAATATTTTACAAATATTTAGGTCTTTTTATGATTTTGAGCCTCCCTGTGTAAATTTTCCATCTGCTGCTTTCATGACCGTAACGTTACTGGTAGAGTAAGTGTTTTCTTTTGGTTACTAGTTGATGGAGAAGCCGACAGATGATACCGTCACTCATCAGCGTAGTTAATGGGAACGATTTCTCATTTGTCTGCAGGTTCACCCTGAAAATGAAGATTGGACCTGTTTTGAACAGTCTGCAAGTTTAGATATTAAATCTTTCTTTGGTTTCGAAAGTACAGTGGAAAAAATTGCAATGAAACAGTACACCAGCAACATAAAAAAAGTGAGTCCAGCTTGGGATTTTATGGAAAAGGGGAGGCAGGAGCCTCTGAGGTGCTCGAGGCTGGCAGTGTTTTCAGAAGGCTGGAAACGGGCCAGTCGGGGGTCCTGGCCGTTTCACGACGTGGAAATGATTGGACTCTCCCCCAAGTCTTGCGTTCTAGGGAGGAGGAGGGTTGGGTGGGAGTTCAGATATTGCTGTTGCCAGTGACGTAGAAGGAAGGTGCGGCCAGTGGCCGCTGTGCCCTCTGCCCAGAATCGTTGGCAGATTGGGGTGGGCGGGCGAGGCGGGAGCGGACGTGTCTGTGGGCAGGGGGAGCGCTTGTCGGGGATCCCCGGGGGCCCCCGGGCCTCGGGTTCTTAGGTTCACCTTGCGTGGAAAACTTTCCGTCTCGTTCTCGTGCCGTTGCTCAGCGCTGCTGTGGGATTTTGGTTTTGAGAGTGTCCGTGTGAGATCATGAGTGTTATGTGAAGGCTTGCTTTATTTTTTCAGGGTGTTGGAAAGAACTTGGGTCGAGACACAAAGCACAGATTGAGTACAAGGGTGATACATGGGTGCTTTTAGTCAGTCGTTAAAAAAACCCCGTCTCTTTAGAAATTACTTCCTGGACCTTTGGAGAAGAGGAAATAAAATCATTATGAAAAACCCAGACACAGAGGCATTTGGCTTTTGCTTTTATAGATTTCTTCTGCGGCTCTTTGGTTTTTGTTAGTGTCTTAAAAATCTGGGGGAGGGGCGAATAATTTGAATGTGGATCACATACTAACCATCAAATCGGTTTTATTTTCAAGGGGAAAGAAATCATTGAATACTATCTTCGTCAGCTGGAAGAAGAAGGCATCACGTTCGTGCCCCGTTGGACTCCGCCTCCCATAGCTTCCTCTTCAGAGACGACCTCGTCCTGCAAGAAACAGGCGGCGTCCTCGGCTGCTGTCGTCTCGGATGCTGCCCAGGCGGAGGGGCTGGGCGGCGAGGCCCTCAGCAGCCCCAGCGGGCCGCCCGAGCCGGCGGCGGGGACCCCTGAAGGTAGGAAAGATGCGGTGTCCCACGAGCAGGACCGGGGGCCATATGGGGTCCTTTCCCTCCGGTTCCTCGGCCCGTTCTTGTCTCCTTAGGACCTTTAGGTATCATTTTGTTGTTGTCCCTTTTCCTCTGGCTTAGGTAACCCATTGTAGTTTTCTCTTAGAACGAAGAAAAGTTTCATTTTTTTTTTTTTTTTTTTTTT